GGAACCACTGAGACTATGGCCCCTAGCTGCCCTTCAGGTCTGGAATTGAACCCATACCCGTGGTGTCCAGCCAAACAAAAGACAGGCATATGAGTTGAATATTTACCTCAAGTAGATACACTCCTTGGAGAGAACAATCATGGGAGAAAGAAGGGCTGCTTATGACAGGGAGACAGCTCAGGGGGCAGGAGTGCATGGAGGAATGGACACTGGGAAGAGGTAACTATCGAGAGAAAGTGGAAGGGGGAACTATTGCATTGTGGTAAACTGTGGTCAATGTCATGAGACAAAGTGTATGTGAACTGCTGTATGGAAGTGAATTTGCTCTTTATATCTTTATCCAAATCACAATTAAAAAAAAAAAAAAAAGACTCTAGAATTAACAGCTGTTAATACTTTATTGGGAGGAGACTTCCTGGCTCGGTGACTAAGTGCTGGGCTACTAACTGAAAAGTTGGCAGTTGGAACCTGCCAGCTACTCTGCAGGATAAAGATGTGGCAGTCTGCTTCCATAAAGATTAGAGCCTTAGAAGTTTTATGGGACAGTTCTACTGTGTCACGTATGAGTCACAATGAGTCAAAATCTTTATTGCTGGGTCCAGAGCAACTGCCTCACAATGAATAAAATTATTGACAATTAATGCCTACTGACCTTTCAAACAAGGAGCTCTGGTGGCACAGTGCTTAAGGCATTCATCTGCTAACCAGAGGGTCAGCATTTTGAACCCACTAGCTATTCCATGAGAGAGGGATGAGGTTTTCTGCTTCTGTAAAGATTTACAGCTTTGGAAACCCTATGTGGCAGTTTTACTCTGTCCTGTCGTTCACTATGAGTTGGAATTGACTCGATGGCAACAGTCTTGGTTTTTTGATTTTGACTTTTCAAACATTTCCTAACATATCTTCTACGTCGACATATGCGCTATGTGCTTAAACTCTTTTCGGTTTTATATGATTTAATACAAGAGTTTGAGGGGTCTTGTAGTTTTTATTTGCCTTTATCCTCAAACAGTCCATACCCACCAAACCAAACCAACAGCTGTCAAGTTTATTCCAACTCCAGCAACCCTATAGGGCAAAGTAAAACTGCCTTGTAAGGTTCTCAAGGCTGTTAATCTTTACAGGAGCAGACTGCCACATCTTTCTCCCTCAAAATGACTGGTGGGTTTGAACTGCCAACCTTTTAGTTAGCCACCAGGTGCTTCCACTGTGCCACCCGTGCTTCTCAAACAGTTCATACCATAGTGAATTTCATAGTAGCCACACAATAAATACCCGTTTAAGTCTTTGCTAAGTAAGCCTTCTGGCTACTTTTTTTCTTCTCTTAACCTGGAGACCCAGGACAAAAGTTTCTGTAACCGAGCCACATTGGGTAACTCTTTTTCTCTTCTTCCCATTAAGCATGCTAGGAACTTACTCTGATGAATTTGGGAACCTAGATTTTGAGCGCTCACAGCATGGGTCTGGAATGAGCAACAGGTCAACAGCAAAAAGATTTATTTCTGCTCTTAACAGCATTGCTGAAAGAACTTACAATAATTTATTTCAATTACATCAACTTCGACAGATCGCCAAAGACCTAAACATTCAGGTATGATAAACTAGATACTTAATCATTTTTGTAATAATTTCAGTAGGTTCTTAATAATGTATAGTAGGTCTTTTAAATAACAAAAGGTTTGGATTAAAAGAATAGAATAAGATTATTTTCTTTGGAGTATTTCATAATATAAGCTAGTTTATTTAAGCTATGAAAGCATCTGCTCAGAATCTTTGAAAAACAGGTTTTGTTTATTTAAGATTTACAGCAACCGTTTTGCAAAAAGTTTTTCAGCATCTTGATAGTTAGGGGATAGCATTATAGCAGAACTCCGTTTCCATTCTTTTCTGGTAATCCCTTATGGGCAAGTCATTTGAACATCTTTGAACCTGTTTCCTCATCTGTTAAAAGGACGAGATTCTACCTGCTCTACGTATTTCCAAATTTTAATGAGAATGTAATAGCACTTTATAGACACAAATTAGTTTATATGGAAAATTGCCTACTAATTTAAGAAACTTGTCTAAATTTTGTTTAGAACCAAAGCTAAAACACATATAAAATTCTGCATACTTGGAGTTCAGGAGCCCTGGCAGCACAGCGGTCAAAGCACTTGGCTCCTATCTGAAAAGGTCATCAGTTCTAATCCACCAGCTGCCTGAGGGCGAAAGATGTGGCAGTCTGCTTCTGTAAAGATTGACAGCCCTGGAAACCCTCTTGCACAGTTCTGCTCTATCCCATAGGGTTGCAGTGAGTCAGAATAGATGGCAGTGGGGATTTATATGAGAGTTTTTATTTTTAATTAATTCAGCATAGACTCCAAAACTCAAATGTAGGCAGTTTTCTCTAAAAGAAGTATAAATACTTCCTTTTTTTCCCCAAAAAAAACTTGACAGTTGTTATGTTTGAGAGATTAATTTTAAAAATCATATTCTGGCATATTACTTAGTGGGCTAACTCTTGATATTTTCTTCCAGGTTGTTGATTTTGAAAACTTTATTGGATCACTAAATGACCAGGGTTACCTCTTGAAAAAAGGTCCAAAGATCTATCAGCTTCAAACTATGTGAAAGGATTTTCCCAAGTTAATAGCCTCCTGGGTGTTAGCAGATTAAGGCCTTTTAATAATAAGAGGCAAAAAAATACTGTTGTTTGAAAATGATGTCCCAAACATAATGCTATAGGAAAAAAAATTGTTGTTAAATGTGGTGAACTACTTTAAGAAATGATAAAGTCATGTGTTAATTTTTTTTATAACCTAATATGTTAAAAAATAAATTATTTATATAAATAATGTAATTAAATTATAATTTACTTATGTTTTTATTTTTGAGCTGTCTTTTTATAAATTTTTCAGTTTTGCATATCAAATGTCCATTTGTGTAAACATTCAGAAAGTTACATTTTAATGTATTTATTATTCTAATTTAAAAATGTGAATGAATACCTTTCAGAAATAAATTGAAACCAACGTTCAGTTGTAAAGACAATGGAAATATTTTATATTGACTTATGCAGCTTAACAGCTACTGAAAATTATCTTAACATCTTAACATCATGCACTTAAAATATTGTATATTATCAAAGTTAAAACATGTACCTATTGAATCATAAAATAGTTATACTTGGCCTGTATTAAAACCTAGCACTCTCTGCTCCACTCTTCCACACTCCCCAGTTTTCTGCTGTGTCCACTGCTCTCCTATTTACCTCCATTTTTTTCTAAGGAACATGCCAGTAGTAATGCTAATTCTTGAATTTTCAGTTTAAACTTTGTGGTAGTTAAGGTTGTATATCACCTTGGCTGGGCCTGGTGGAGTGGCTGCGTAGCTGGAGGTAGTTATGCCC